AGTGGAGAATTATGTCCTGTTTTATGTTCAGTTCTATTTTTGTCTTAAAATTAGGGAGTTCTTCAGTGAAAGCATAATACCTTGCAAGCATGGTGCTGTCATAAAATACTGTAATTTATTCAATTTATTCACATGCTTTTGGTAAAAGCTTTTATTTTAATATTTGAAAAACACATTAAAGGTCAGGATTTATATTTTAAAAAATTATATTTCATTTGCTTTGTTTAAAGATTTAGGTAAGATTGAAAGTGCTAAGTCATTGCCTCCAATTCAAAACAATATTTTTTTGGCTGTATAGCATGTTAAAGTTTTCAAAAATGTTTATGTAATTTTTTTTTTTTTTTTTTTTTCACTTTGTTGCCCAGGCTAGAGTGTGTGCCATGGCATCAGCCTAGCTCACAGCAACCTCAATCTCCTGGGCTCAAGCAATCCTGCTGCCTCAGCCTCCCAAGTAGCTGGGACTACAGGCATGTGCCACCTTGCCCGGCTAATTTTTTTCTATATATATGTTAGTTGGCCAATTAATTTCTTTCTATTTATAGTCGAGACGGGGTTTCGCTCTTGCTCAGGCTGGTTTCGAACTCCTGAGCTTAAACGATCCACCAGCCTCGGCCTCCCAGAGTGCTAGGATTACAGGGGTGAGCCACCGTGCCCAGCCTATGTAATTATTATCTTTGATATTCACAACCTTGTAAAGATAAATGGTCTAGGCATTTTCTTGCTTTTACTGATTAAGGAAACTGTGGTTCACAAATAGGAACTTTCTTGTTTATGATCTTATGGCCAAAAAGTAAGCAAAAGTACCTGATTTTAGACCTCAGTGTTAATTTAGTGTGTTTTTTACAATAACATCAATCCTTTTACAGCTCCCAGTAGACTTCTTTGTACATTAGAGCTCTGTAAATGTTTCTTCCTGGTTGATTTTTCTGAGTAATAAAGTAATAATAAATTCTATCGTAGGAAACTTGAAGATCTATCATAATTCGAAACATTTAGTACTGGTGAGTGTGCATAGAAAAATGAGGGTCCACTGTTTTCATGTTGTGTTTATATTTGGATGCTCACATATATGCTAGTTAGTACAGTTTCTAAATCAACACTTTCTGCACACTATTTTTTTTAATTATTATATTTATTAGTGACTGTTTTTACTCCAAAAGGACTGGAAGAGTTTGAGGGCAATGATTATGCCTAAATATTAATACTAATTCCCTATCCCCACGTTCTTTAAAAAGCACAGAGTTTGAATATGAGGCAGCAGACATTCATGGTCAGAATGGGGTGGCTCAGCTGAGATGGGGAACAGGAAGCACTGTCACCCCCCCTCGACTTTCACTCTACAGTTGTTTCACTGACACCCAGTCTTAGACTCCCTAAGGAACCAGACAGATAAAAAATTCTAGCAAATAAGAAATATCAACTTTCTTTGTCTTGGTTGCATGCTACTATTTTTTATGTCTTTTTAGGTAACCTGACTCAGCTAGTTACAACTATTTTTTAAGGTTAACCTATTCACTTGGAAATTTACAATAATAGGCAAAACATTGCTTACAAAAATTTTCCTAAATTTTCTTTCTTTTTACATAATAGCTTTATTGAGACATAATTGATATATAATAAACTATACATACTTAAATATGAATTTGATAAATTTTGATAAATTGAAATCACACATAAAACCATCCCTGTAATAAAGAAAATGAATATATCATCCATCACAATATTTATTTCTGCTCCTTTGTAATCCCACCCTCTTGCTCCTACCTGTGTCACTCCTATCCCACTCTGTCTCCAGGGATGATTGATTTCTGTCACTATAGATTGCTTTGCATTTTCTAGAATTTATATGAATGCAATCATAGTACTTTGAAATGCTGTCTCATGGCATGGTTATCTTGAGATTCTTTAATATAGTATATATTAGTATTTCATTCCTGGTAACAAAAAAATTTTCTCAGCTGGATGTGGTGGTTCACACCTGTAATCCCAGCACTCTGGGAGGCTGAGGTGGGAGGATCACTTGAGGTCAGGAGTTTGAAACCAGCCTCAGCAAAGGGAGACCCCGTCTTTACTAAAAATATGAAGAAATTAGCTGGACAACTAAAAATAGAAAAAATTAGCCAGGTGTAATGGTGCACACCTGTAATCCTAGCTACTTGGGAGACTGAGGCAGGAGAATTGAGCCCAGGAGTTTGAGGTTGCCTTGAGGTAGGTTGATGGTATGGCGTTCTAGCCCAGGCAACAGAGTAAGACTCTGTTTCAAAAAAAAATTTTTTTTTCTCCATGTTTTCCTCTAGAAGTTTCATAGCTTTAGGTTTTACATTTAGGTTTATGATCCATTTGGAATTAAGTTTTGAGTCTAATGTGAGGTATGGATTGAAGTTCTATTGTTTTTTTGCATGTAGATGTCCCCTGTTCCAGCAAAATTTATTGGAAGAATTGTCCTTTCTCTACAGAATTGCTTTTGTACCTTTGTAGAAAATCAGTTGTCCATATATATGTTAGTCTCTTTCTGGACCCTGTTCTGTTTCACTAATCCGTTTTTCTGTTTTTACACTGATGCCTCATTGGCCTGATTTCGTAACTTTATAATAAGTTTTGAAGCCAGGTATTGTTATTCTTCAAAACATGTTCTTCATTTTCATAGTTGTGACTATTCTAGATCCTTTGGAATTCCATGTGAATTTATATATTCATCTTGTCAATTTGTATAAAGTTGCCTGCGGGGATTTTGAATGACATTGCACTGAACCTACAGATAAATTTAAGGAGAGTTGACATATTAACAATATTGAGTCTTTTGACTCATGAGCACAGTTTAACCCTCATTTTTATTAGGTCTTCTTAATAATTTTTGTCAACAATGTTTTGTAGTTTTCAGTGTACAGATCCTAAACATCTTTTGTCAAATATATCCCTAAAGTATTTCTATTTTTGATGTTATTATAAATGATATTTTAAAATAATTTCTATTTCATCAGTTGTCAAATATAAATTTAATGGCACAAAATTGTTCATAATATTCCCTTATTATTCTTTCAATATCTGTAAAATATTTAGTAATGTCACCTCTCTCATTTTTCATATTGTTAATTTGTGACTTTTATAGTTTTTCCTGGCTAATGATTCATTAGTTTTATTGATTTTCTTAATCAGCTTTTGGTTTTCTTGATCTTTGTCTATTAGTTTTCTGTTTTCTGTTTCATTATATTCTGATCTGATATTTATTTATTTCCTATCTTTGTTTACTTTGGCCTAATTTGCTCTTTTTTCCTTCTAGTTTGTTGAGATGGAAGCTGAGGTTGTTGATTTGAGACCTTTCTTTTTTCTCTCATATAGGCATTTAGTTTCTATATTTTGTTCTATATTTAATTCTATTTTATTGCTTTAAACAACATCCTATAATTTTTTATATGTTATGTTTGCATTTTAATTTACTTAAAAATCCTTCTAATATCTTTTGATTTCTTTTTTGACCTATGAGTTACTTATAAGTGTATTATTAAGTTTCCAACTATTCCAGACATCATTTGTTATTGATTTCTGTTATTAATCCTATTTTTGTGTGACTTGAATTCTTTTAAATTTATTGAGACTTGTTTTGTGGCCCAGAATATGATCTGCCTTGGTAAATATTTTGTATGCTCTTGAAAAAAATGTGTATTATGCTGTTGTTAAATGGAGTGTTCTTGCAGTGTCTATTAGGTCAAGTTGGTTGATAGCACTGTTCAAGTCTTTATCCTTACTAAACACTGTCTACTTGCTTTATCAACTTTTGGGAGAAGGGGAGTGAAATCTCAATCAATAATTGTGAATTAGTCTATTCGACTTTGAGGCTTTATCATCAGTCTTTGGCGTCATGTATTTTGAAGTTCTGTTATTAGATGCATAAATGTTTTGGATTGGTGTGTCTTATTGATGAATAGACTAGTTTTTCATTATGAAATGATCTTTTTTATCCCTGGTTATAGTCGTTGCTTTGAAATCTACTTTATCTTATATTAATATAGCTATTTCAACTTTCTTTTAACTAATCTTATGATGGTATATCTTTTTTGTTTTGCTCATTTCCTTTTACCTATTTGTGTTTTATAATTAAAATTGGTTTCTTGTAGACAGTTTATAATTGGGTGTTGCTTTTTTATCTAATCTGATATTCTCTGCCTTTTAAATGGAATGTTTAGGTCATTTGCATTTAATGTGATTATTGATATGTTTAGGTTTAAATATATCTTTATATTTCTTTTCTTGTTTCATTTGTTTTTTGTTACCCTTTTCCTCCTTTTATCCCTTCTTTTGGATTGAGTATTTTCATGATTCCATTTAATGTCCTTTGCTGCTTATTAGGTATATATTTTTGTTTTATTATTTCAGTAGTTCCTTTAGGCTTTATAATATGTGTCTTTAACTTATCATAGTTCAAGTGATATTATACCTCTAAGTGATATAATACCATTTCACATATACTGTAAGAACATTACAAATTTCACTCTCCTAAGCTTGGTACTAATGTCATACATTATAATTCTACCAATGTTATAAGCCCCATATTGTTTTTGCTTTAAGTAGTCAATAAATATGTATCCTTTTAGCTAAATTTCATTTCTTTATGTGAAACCAGATTGTTATTCCTGAAGAACTTCCTTTAGCACTTTTTATAGTACAGGTCTGGTGGTGATGAATTCTTTGTTTTGGTATGCCCCCGAAAAACCTTTATTTTATCTTTATTTTGAAAGATATTTTTGCTAGGTGTAGGATTTTAGGATTGCAGTTTTTATTTCCTTTTAGTACTTCACTGTCTTCTTGTGTTATTTCTGATGATTAACCTGCCACAATCTTTATCTTTGTTTTTCTAATATAAAGTATCTTTTTTTTTCAGATACCCTTTTACCTGGATATCCAGAATAGTTTACCTCAATTTGTATTTAGTATTCTGCTTTAAAAGCCTATCCAGTGCTTTCACATCTATATTAATATTTAGCTCTTATTTTTTACTATAGGCCTGAAGTGTTAGAAGACTCACCTCTGGTCCCTCAGAAAAGCAGTTTTCAGATTGTTCAGTGCAACTGCAGTGTTCATGAATGTTGTGAATGTCTTGTGCCTGTGCCAACAACCAAACTCAACAACACTCTTCTTATGTATTTGAAAATCTCATCTGGTGGAATAATTTTTCAGTCACCTCTAATGTCAGTTCATCCCATAAATGTCGGTAAGTTGTGCATTAAAATAATAATAGATCTCAACATGAGAACAGGTTAAAAATCACTAACAAAAATTTTCACTAGCTCATTTCACTTTGACCAATGCTGTAATGATAGTAAATATAATACTGGGAAGTATTAAGGACAGTCTAGAATGATTTAGCAGTAATATCTATCTCTGCAATTGTCACTTAAATTCATTTTTGAAAACAGTTTGGTTTCTTTAAATCCTGGATCTGTCTGATGGACGTGTATTGTTTGGTTATCATTTTTTTGCATCTCGGATAACTAACTGTGAAAATAATTCAAAGCGTGTTTCTTGCCTGAATTTATTCCTTCAATAACTATTTCTTAGAGGTTCATGTGTGTCAGGGACTGTTCTAGGAGGAGAAGAAACAGTGGGGAATGAGGCAAAGTTCCTACCTTATAGAGCAGGAACAAACGATAGTGGGCAGAGACAAATGATAAAAAAATAAACAAATAAGTAATGTACTCTACAAACTTGATTATAAGAAAACCTCAAATAATAGGCACTGCCCCATTTTTTGGTGCAAAGATCCCCAAAATCTCTTTCGATCAACTTAAATATACAATTACAAATGTGAATAATATAGACAAATGTTAACTTAAAGTATTTAATTTATTGACTTAGTTTTGTATACATATGTTAAATTATAATTTAGCAGTGTTATTATTTTCACTTATATTTCCTGAAATAATTATATGCAAACTCTTCACATCCGTTTTTGCATCATTGATTTTGGTGTCACTGGAGCCACTTTTCCAAGTATCTGACACAATTTTCCATACAACTCCATTTCTTTCTAACCTACTTGAGATGTAGCACTTTTTGAATCTGTGTATGATGTCATATTTTAATATTATAACTTTCAATTTGTCATCTAGGATATATTTGTGATCTCTACAATATAATTATAATGGCATCCAAGCAATTCAATCATGAAGTTATAACACATGAAAAAAATTACAATATCTTTATTAAATATCTTCTCTTTTCAGAACCAATTCTACCTGGTGATTTTTAGTAGCATTTAGAGCCAGCATTGAATTGCATTGTCTTTCAAAATGAAGTAAATAAGGGAAAGTGCTATGACAAAATTTATAAGAACTTGAAAACCTTCTTAATTTTGTCTTTATACAGAGATTATTTGGGGAAGAATTCTTATATTGAATAAAAATAATAATATCCACAATTGTAAATTCCATGAAAGACATAAAAACTCTATGATGGAGTGTCAGGAGTGGGGGCTGTGGTTTCTGCTTTGTAGCTCAAAGAAGACCTCTTTCAGGACATAGCATTTGAGCTGAATGAAGAAGAGATATCCATGCAAAAATCCAGAGCAAAAGGTGCTCCAAGCAGGAAGCACAGCATTCACAAAATCTGTGAGATGCAATGAACTTGGTAGTTTGAGAAACAAAAGAGAAAGCCCTTCTGCTAGGAGTAAATGAAGTATGAGAATATTAGGAGATGAGGTCAGAGTTACCTGGGTCCAGAGTATATCATAGGCCAGGGTTGCAGAGTTTGGCTTTTATTCTGTTAATTATTGCAATGGAAACTTTTGGATCAGGGAAGTGATATGATCATATGCATGTGTGTGTGTTTAAAATTTACTCTGCATTGTGAAGAATGAAATTGTTAGGGAAGGGAGTGAAGGTATAGTTGGAGGTGTGAAAGGAGCAGCCCAGATAGGAAGCTATTGGTATAGTTGAGTTGGTTTAGGATTGTACCGGTGAACAGTAAAAATTGATTAGATTTAGATCTATTTGGGAGATGGTGCTAACTAGACTATAGTGGATTGAGTTTTAGGGTGTGAAGGACAGAGAAGAACCAAGGATGACCCTTAGACTTGGACCTGACCATCTGAGTGAATGGTAATATCAGTTACTGAGGTAGCAAAACTCAGGGAGGATAGGTGTGTATGCAGAAATCAAGATCTCTACTTTGGACACATCATATTTGAGATGCCTATTAGAAACCCAAGAGATGTTTAGTAGGCAGTTGGACCAATGGGTCTAAAGAGGTATATATTTGGGAGTTGTTAGCATATAGAGGCTTATGGGATTGTATGACATCACCCATTAGAGTTCAGGAAGAGAAAGACCGAAAGGTAAGCAGTAAGAATGAAGGAGTACAAGAGGGTATTGTCCTAGAAACCAAGTGAAAAAAGTATTCTAAGAAGGAGGGAATGAGCAGCTGTGAGGAATGCTGCTGAGAGGCAGAGTGAGATGAATTGGAAGTTGACACTGGATTTGGTAAAGGGTAGTGATCTTAGTAAGAACAGTTTCAGTGAGCTGATGAGGAGGAAGATCTGACCAGGGTAGGTTGGTTAGGAAATGGGATGCAATGTGGACAGTGAGTAATGCCCACCCTTTTGAGGAACACTGCTCTGAAAGAAGCAGGCAGGCATACCTGGGACTGGGTAAATAGGGAGTTCAGGGTGTATTTTCCGATTTCCAATATGAATGCGTATTAGTATTGTCAACCTAAAATGAGTTATAGATAATGACTCGCCAAAGCAAAAGGTTTATTCAGGAATAGCAGGGGATTGCAATCAGGATACACGTGACCATGGGAGCATCCAAGGGAGTTGGGACAGAGAGGAAGCTTCTAAAAACAAAAAGGAGAAATCTGCATCATAAGCTGTTTGGAAACAAGAGCACTGATTGCAGGGGCTTGTTGCAGGAGTAGGTGTTAGCTCACTGGAGAAGACAGCCATTATTAGGCAAGTGCCAAGTGGCTTTTGTGGAATTCCTTACATTGTTCCTATCACAGGCATATGTGCCTGAAAGCCCCTGCTTTATGGTCTCTGGCTCCATTTTGTTAGCGTGACATTAGTGACTCCATTTTGATACAGCTTTCGCACTATGCAAATAGGAAATATACAATAGTTTGTAATGTTATGATTTCACTTCTCCCTGGATATTTGTTTTGTTTTCTTTTCTTTTTGGTTTTGGGAACACAGTAAATTTCACCTATTATTTCTCAGACTTTAATATTTAGCTGTCCCTACTTTAAAATAACTGAAATTTGCAATATATCACAGAAAATAAAACCTCATCAATTTCAACTAAAGGAAAAGAGGAAAACTATGTTCAAATTCCTGAAGATATAGAATGTGAAAAATATCTTGTCATTTTATTTATTGAAAATAAAATTCACATCAGTAAATGTTTCAATGTAATGGTAATTTCTATGTACATGTATAATTCTTAATTGTGAAAACCTGGCAATATAGAGATATACAAAGAAGAAAATGCATCATCTATTTTTTTTTTTTTTTTTTGAGACAGACTCTTGCTCTGTTGCCCAGGCTAGAGTGCAGTAGCATCATCTTAACTCACTGCAACCTCGTGCCTGAGTAACTGGACTACAAGTGTGTGCTATCACACCTACCTTTTTTCTTTTTTTTAAATAGAGATGAGGTTTCCAGCAATGTTATTTTAAGTGGCTTTATAGATTCCCATTATGGTATGAATCTTAATTTATTCAAGGGATACTTAAATATTTTAAAGGTTTTGTTGTTGTATGTTTATTTAAAACTATACATATACATATATAGTTACATACTTGTATACACAAATACACATATATGTACATAAACGTGCACACATACATTTGAACTCAGATGTCATTTACCAAGTTAAACTCCCCATTAAGCTAAGAAACTCCATCCTTACTTCTGGTGATAAGCCAGGACCTGCTGATCCTGTATTTATTGCATGGGAATATTCATGCTCTGGGTTATTTGAGTAGGTGTGTCTGGATTATTGTGATTTAAAATTAATATATATGTGGAATTTTGGATAGTTCTATGGATTTTCCAAATAGTGTTCTGTAGAATGCTTTCCTTGTTACCCACTAAAACAAGTGGTGTGGGTAGGGTGGTGGGGAGACTTCAAATGAGTTTGAGAAATACTGGCTTAAATAAAGTTAATTGGATTTTTACAGTGCAAAATCACATTTAGCAAAATAATCTTGTTTACTGATTTATAGTCTTTACCACTTAGAGGGAAGGAACTGAAGACACATGGATTGCCATGATAAAGTACAAGAAGTAGACTCAATATTCTAGATTTGTTCTGGTTCAGTAATTAGTCCTTGGGTAAAGTCACCTTTTAAATATTTGAAAGGCAGAATATTATTGAAAATTATTTGATTTTATTTTACTCAGATATAATTGTCATGGAAATTACTTGACTTAAAAGTATTCTTTTTTTCCTTAAGTGAAGCCTGATCCACCAGTAGGTTTGAATATGGAAATCACAGATGACGGTAATTTAAAAATTTCTTGGTCCAGCCCCCCATTGGTACCTTTTCCACTTCAATATCAAGTGAAATATTCAGAGAATTCTACAATTATAAGAGAAGTAAGTATATTTTAGAAAATAAAATGAAAAGTTGAGAAGCAACTAAAAATCCTCTTAAGTCTTACAGAAATTACCCTCTGCATATTAAATGTGCATGCTCCTTATAGAGCAGAATGAATTATAATTCAATATTATATTAGATGCTTATGAGTGTATATATATGGCTACAGGAAGACTAGTTACAGAAACTTGAGTTCATAATTATAATTTTTTTCACCTGCAGACCACTGATTTTACATTGCCTCCTTTGCTTTTTTTTATTGCTGAACTGTATTTGAATCTTTTTCTAAATCTAGCGACAGAAAGATTCTTTGCTTGGCCAAACTTTAGTCAGTCTTCTGAATCTTTTGCTAGGCCCATCTGTGTAGTTTCTTGTAAAATCCAGTTTTAGCAAAGAACTCTGCTGAGTCATCTTAGCAAGAACCTCCCCATCCTTGATAACTGATTGATATTTGATCAGGTTCCTTATCCTTCACCATCCCCCAGGTGATGTTTTATCATCTTGTCCTGTCTTCATCAAGAATCTGTTAGGTCAGTTTAGCTAGAATCCTCCGTATTGTTTCTTCTTAGTAATTTTCCATCCACTGACCCTCACCCTACTCCTTTGCTCTAAAACCACACTTGCTCATGCTTTATTTGGACTTAGCCCAGTCTCTCTCATACCCTGCAAGACTCCATTGCAGTGGTCTCTATTCCTATCGTACTGGCCCTGCATAAAGTCTTCCTTACTGTGCTTTAGCAAATATCATTGAGTAATTTTTCTTTAACAATTAATTCTGTTAGTATTTATTTAGCACCTCCTAGGTGCCAGGAACTGTTCTACTTGCTTCAGGGTACACTGGGCTACAAGAACAGGCTAAGAAGAGTTTGAGAGTGCTGTTGGGGATGGCCACTCAAAGGCCACATTGAGAGGGTGATATTTGGACAAGGAAGTGTAGGAAATGGTGACGTAGATATCTAGGGAATTGGGTTCCAGACAGAGAGCGCAGCAATGTAGAGGCCACTGTGGCCTGTGTGGCCAAGGGGGGTGAGGGAAGGTGAGATAGTAGTGGATGAAGTCAGAGACCAGTGGGGGAGGAAGAGGAGAAGCTCATAAATGGCCTCTTGGGCCATGGAATACTTTGGCACTTAACTTTGTGAAACTAAGTGTTACATAATTTAGAGGTTAAAACCAATCTTTTTAGATCTGAGCGAATTTCTAAAAGGGCTTTATTTTCACAAAGAGCAGGATGTCAATCCTCGTGTATGGCAAAAGCAGTCTTAAGGCTTCTTTGAACTTCAGCCTTCTTGTCTGTAAATTGGAGATAATAGGATTTTATTTATTTATTTATGTTTAAGGTTTTTTTGGGAAAGAGTCTCTCTGTCTCCCGAGCTGGAGTGCAGTGGCATCATCATAGCTCACTGCAGCCTCACACATCTGGGCTCAAGCGTCCGCCTACCTCAGCCTCCCTGGTAGCTGGGACTATAGGTGTGCACAACGCCAGTTAATTTTTCTATTTTTTGTCGAGACAGGGTATTGCTCTTGCTGGGGCTCGTCTAGAACGCTTGACCTCAAGCAGCGATCCTGCCGCCTCAGCCTCCTGGAGTGCTAGGATTGCAGGCGTGAGCCACCACACCCAGCCAATAAGATTTTAACTATGAGTGATCTGATGTTGTTTCCTGCATTCCTGATGGTTTTAATCATTTTTAGTTTATGACTTCCCCGACAGTTTTAGGAGAATTTAATAATTTTGTGGTGCATTATTGGGTGACTGAATTTATTCACTAAGTAATTCTTAGCTAGTGGCTGTTTTAATGCACAGTTTGGTCCTAGATATTTTTCCTCTGTTTTGTAAACTGTGTTTTGATTCATGCACTGTAGCTTACCATTAGGCTCAGGTTCTTAAAGTTATTCATGTCCTCCTGTGCAGCACTCCTCTAGGAACACTTAACAGTTCTCTGTCTACCCCTGCTTGGTGTTTTCTACCAACTGTGTGTTACAGGTGACAGTAGTGGCTTGAGGCTTTCTGCCAATTTTAGCTGCATTTCTCAAAATTCTTAATGTCATATATTCATTATCATTCAGTTAACAATATTCACTAATTGTCATGATGATTTTTATTCTTGGGCCCATGGGCTAATTAAAATTTCATTGACTAATGTGCAAAACATTTGTTATTTGGTTATTGATTTCTGTTTTAATTCCACTGTGGCCAGATAACTACTCTGTAAGATTTTAATTCTCTGAAATTTGTTGAGACTTGCTTATAATCATAATTTTGGTAAAATTTCACATTGACTTGATGCTCTAATGTTTTACAATAATACTTAACAGGCAGACAAGATTGTCTCAGCTACATCACTGCTAGTAGACGGTGTGCTTCCTGGGGCTTCATATAAGGTTCAGGTGAGGGGCAAAAGGCTGCATGGCCCGGGAATCTGGAGTGACTGGACTACCCCTCATACTTTTACCACGCAAGGTAGGTTATGTAATAGTAACTTCTACTGACAGAAATATATTTTCTGCATTTGCCTTTGGTGTATTGTAAGCATCTTAAATTTTATGGCCTTAAAACATAAAGGGAACAAAATATTAACTTTTAATTTAAATTTTGAACAGGTTAATTTGTTAATTAAAATTGTGTCAGACATACACATGGCCAACAGTATATGAAAATATGCTCAACATCATTAGTCATCAGAGAAATGCAAATCAAAACTACAATGAGATTATCATGTCACCCCAGTTAAAAAGGCTTTTATCAAAAAGACAGGCAAGAACAAATGCTGGCAAGGATGTGGAGAAAAGGGGACCCTTGTACACTGCTGGTGGGAATGTAAATTAGTGCAACCTCTATGGAGAGCAGTATGGTGATTCCTCAAAAAACTAAAAATAGAACTACTATATGACCCAGCAATCCCACTGCTAGATATATATACAAAAGAAAGGAAATCAGTATAGTGAAAAGATATCTACACTCCTATGTTTATTGCAGCACTGTTTACAATAGCCAAGATTTGGAATCAACCTTAGTGTTCATCAATGGATAATGGATAAAGAAAATGTAGTACATGTACACAATGGAATATCATATAGCCATAAACATGAACAAAATCTTGTCATTTGCAACAACATGGATGGAACTAGAGAACATTATGTTAAGTGAAATAAGCTAAGCACAGAAAGACAAATCTTGCATGTTCTCACCCATATGTGGAAGCTAAATATTAAAAAAATTGATCTCATGGAGACAGAGAGTAGAATGATGGTTACTAGAGGCTGGGAAGGGTAGTGGTGAGGATGTGACAAAATGGGAAGAGTTAATGAGTACAAAAATATATAGTTAGACAGTTATTAATAGATAGAATGAACGATATTCGATAGCATGACAAAGTGACTATAAGCAATAATAAGTTAGGGTCTGCTTTAAAATAACTAAAAGAATGGACCTGGGATGTTCCTAACACAAAGAAATGATAAATGCCTGAGGTGACGGGTACCCCAGTTACCCTGATTTGATTAAATCGCATTGTATTCCTGCCTCAAAACATCACATGTACCCTATAGATACACAAAATTATTATGTAGCCATAATAATTAAATATTAAAAATTAAAAAAAAATTGTGTCAGAGCTCCTAGATGTATGTGCTTCCATATCAGTGTGAATTCTTTTTGCACCAGATGCTTGTTTTTGAGAGTTTTCAAAGTCAATTTTTAAAAATACTTTTAAGATTATTTTTAGTGTCAGGAAAAACTGCAGTTTATTCACATCTCCTTTGTGAAGATGAGGTGCAATGTTTGAGAAAGAGGCTCAGGACTCTTGGAAATAGTCCTAGTCCTGCCACATACTAAGTTGTGATTATAAGGAAGACAATACTCCTTTCACTTGTCTGATCTGTCAAAAGGGCAAAATTTTTCTTGTTCAAACTTACTCATATTGAGCATAGCTATATGGATATAGCAAATGCCATGTAAAACACTAAGCAAATAGTCAACCTATTTAACTTGAGAAGTTTATTGATTGCTTACTATTTTAAAAGCCCTGGTTCATCAAAAAGCAAGTAGCCTTAGTGGTTTAAGAGCATTGACTTTGGAGTTTGATGAAGTTTATGGAAGTTTGGGACCCACCATTTATTTGGAAAGTTTCTTAACCTTTCTGACTTAATTTCCTCATATTTAAAATAAGGATGTTTTATATGGATAAAATGAAATAAGGCACATAAAGTGCTTACCAGAACACCTGACCCTTAGCAAGCACTCAATAAATGTTATATACTCTCATAGTTTATGAATCTATAACCTCAATATCTGAAATCTCAAAGTCTAATGCGGGTGAAAAATTGATGTGTTGCATAAGTAATTGATAAGCACAGTAAGATTATCAGAGGTGCTAAACAAAATGCTAAACAATGGGAGCAAATAATTATAATTGGGAGAGTTAGGGACCTTGTGTGGACAGACTTTAAAGACATGAATTTTGTATCTCTATTCTTCAGATAATTATTGACTATCACAATGTATGTAACATGAAGCTGACAATTCAGCTTTTGGAATTTTTCTTTTTCTAAGGGCAACTTAATCTTCTATCTTCAATTATGTCATTGATTAATAGGCCGTAATGACCAGTTGTGCAACATGTAGAGGGGAATGAAAAAATATCCAATTTCAAAGATGTCCCATGTGGTGATTTTTCCATAGTGGCATGGGATGAGGTGGGTGGGGAGAAAAGGGAAATTTTACAAAGGAAGTGGAAATCAATAGCTCTTATCTCCACTAAGTGGCCCGTGGCTTGCCATTTTTATTTAAGCATCTGGTGAAATGTTTCCCTCCCACAGTAAAATAGCTTCATTTTTTTACCATTTTACTTCTTTTTTATTTCAAAATATTAGGGGGTACAGATGTTTTTATTACATGGATACCTTTTATAATAATGCTTCAGTTGGGGCTTTTAGTGTGCGCATCACCCAAATAGTGTTCGTAGGTGAGTTTTTACACTTCCCCCACTCATCCCTCCCTCTAGTCTTGATTCCAATGTCCTTTATATCTCTTTGTGCCTGTGTATGCCCACCGATTAGCTCCCAGTTATAAGAGAGTACATGTGGTGTTTGTTTTTCCATTTCTGAGATACTTTACTTAGGGCAATGGTCTCCAGTTCCATCCAAGTTGCTGCAAATGATATTATTTCATTTCTTTTTATGGCTTAATAGTACTCCATCATGTGTATATTCCACATTTTCTTAATCTACTCATGAATTGATGGGCACTTAAGTCTTGAGATTGCGAATTGTGCTATAATAAACATTCAAGTGCAGGTGTCTTTTTGATAAAATGACTTCTTTTCCTTTGGATAGATACCCAGTAGTGGGATAACTGGATCAAATGGTAAGTCTACATTTATCTCTTCGAGGAATCTGCATACTATTTTCCACAGAGGTTGTACTAATTTGCAGTCCCATCAACAGTGTATGAGTGTTCCTTCTCTCTGTATCTATGCCAGCATCAATTTTTTTTTCACTTTTTATTATGAGTACAGTGGAAACTCATTGTGGTTTTAATTTGCATTTCCCTGATAATTAATGATGTCAAGCATTTCTTCATATCTTAGCTGGCCATTTGTTTATCTTCTTTTAGAAAACTTCTGTTCATGTCTTTTGCCCACTTTTCAATGGGGTTGTTTATATTTTTCTTGCTGATTTGTTTGAGTTCTTTGTAGATTCTGGATATTAACCTTTTATTGGATGTATAGTTTGCAAATATTTTCTCCCATTCTGTAGGTTGTCTATTTCTCTGTTGATTATATTTCCTTTGTTGTGCAGAAGCTTTTTAATTTAATCAATTCCCATATATTTATTTTTGTTGCTTCTGTATTTGGGCAAGAGTATGAACTTCCCCCTTAGCACTGCTTTTTGTATATCCAATGGATTTTGGAAGCTTATGACATATTCTTCATATTCTTCAGTTTGAAAACATCTTTTTATTTGCATCTTACTTTGTCATTTTCCCAATTATTGTTCAGCAGCAGGTAGTTTAATTTATTTGTATAGATTTTAGAGTTCCTCTTGGAATTTATTTCTAGTTTCATTCCATTGAGGTCTGAGAAACTACATGATATGATTTTGATTTTTCTAAATTTTCTGAGACTTTGCTTGTGTCCTAACATATTTTCTATCTTGGAATATGTCCCATGTACTATTGAGAAGAATGTATATTTTGCAGTTTGGGTAGAATGTTCTGTAAATGTCTGTTAGGTACATTAATTCTCGAGTCCCATTTAAGTCCATTGTTTTCCTTTTTTATTTTGTGCCTTGATGATCTGTCCAGTTCTGTCAGTGGAATGTTGAAGTTCCTGGCTATTATGATGCTGCTGTTTACATCTTTGCTTAGATGTAGTAGAATTATTTTTTATGAATCTGGTAGCTCTCATGTTAGGTGCATATATATTTAGGATTGTTATAGCTTCTTGCTGAATTTCTCCCTTTCTCTTTACAGTATATAATGACTTTCTTTGTCCTTTTTTTCCTATTGTTAATTAAAGTCTATTTTTTCTGATATAGCTTATGGTTTCCATTTGCATGGAATATTTATTTCCCCATCCTTTTATCTTGAGTCTGTGTGAATCCTTGTGATTTAGATGGTTTTGTCTCCAAGACATTGGGCTGTGTTTTCTCATTCATTCAGCCAACGTATATCTTTTAAGTGGAGCATTAAGACCACTTATGTTGAATGTTAGTTTTTTTTTTTTTTTTTTTAGACAGAGTCTCACTTTGTTGCCTGGGCTAGAGTGCTGTGGCGTCAGCCTAGCTCACAGCAACCTCAAACTCCTGGGCTCAAGTGATTCTCCTGCCTCAGCCTCCTGAGTAGCTGGGACTACAGGCATGCACCACCATGCCTGACTAATTTTTTCTATATATTTTAGTTGGCCGATTAATTTCTTTCTATTTTTTTTTTTTAGTACAGATGGTGTCTTGCTGTTTCTCAGCCTGGTTTTGAACTCTTGACCTTGAGTGATCTGCCTGCCTTGGCCTCCCAGAGTGCTCTGATCATCATGTTGATTGTTATCTAGTTGCTATGTGTTCTCTCTTATGTTATTGTTTTATAAGAGCTATGAGCCTTAACTTTCTTTTTTTTTACACTGGTGGGTATTGATTGTTCTGTTCCATGTATAGAACACTTTTAAGCATTTTCTTGTAGCGCAGGTCTAGTGTGCCAAATTCCCTCAGTATTTGCTTCTCTGGGAAAGAGTTTATTTCTCTTGCCTTTATGAAACTTAATTTTATACAACACAATTCTTGGCTAGTAGTTCTTCTGTTTAGTAAGACAAAAAGTGGGACTCCCAATTCCTTTTAGCCTGTAAGGTTTCTGCTGAGAAGTCTGCTATTAGTCTGGCAGGTTTTTCTTTATAAGTAACTTGTTGCTTTTGTCTTACACCTTGCATAATTTTCTCCTTCACTTTGACTTTGGCCAGACTGATAGCTATGTGCTTTGGTGATGTCCTATTTGCCATAAATCTTCCAGGTGTTTGATGACCTTCTTATATCTGGATGTCTAACTCTCTAATGATACCATGGAAGTTTTCCTCATTTATTCCTTCAAAGAAGTTTTCCATGCTTTTTGCTTTTTCTTCTTCCCCCTCAGAGATTCCTATGATTCTCATATTCATTTGCTTTATGTAGTCTCATATTTCTCAGGGAGATTGTTCATTCTTCTTGATTTTTTTCCCCTGCACTTTTGACTGACTGGGTTAATTCAAAAGACTTGTTTTCAAGCTCTGACATTCTTTCCTCTGCTTGGTCTAGTCTGTCATTATGACTTTCTACTGTATTTTGAAATTCCCTAAATGACTTTTTAATTTCTAGAAGTTCTGTTATATTTTTTCTTATATTATCTCTTTAGTGAATTTTTCATTCATGTCTTGAATTTTTTTTTCATTTCTTTGTGTTGGTTTTCAACTTTCTCTTCAATCCCATACTTGCCATCCATATTCTGGTCTTACTTGCCATCCATATTCTGAATTACATATCTGACATTTCAACAATTTCCTTTTGGTTGGGGTCCATTGTTGGAGAACTATTGTGATCCTTTGGTGGTGTCAATACAGCCTGTGTTTTCATGTTGCCAGAGTTCTTTTGCTGGTTTCTTCTTATCTGAAGTCTCTTCCCAGGTGGCAGCGTTTGTTGGTGAGTGGCAGTGTGAGCACTCTCCCTACTCATGGCCATTTCTGGCAGTGGGGGGTCAGCACATGGCAGTGTGAGCATTTGCCCTGCATAGGACCATTGGTGGTGGTGTTACCCAGGACACTGAAGCTGAAGCTACACCACCCAGACAACAGTGGCTGGTGCCCAGGGCCATGAGCTCTCTCTCCATCTGATTCCCCACAGCAGCTGCGTCTGGGTGGGATTGCCTAGACAGTGGCAATGGGCACCAGATCTATGGGCACCCACTCTGCTTGGGTCCCCCAGCAGCTGTGGGGATGTGCAGCACCTGCCCATGGGATGCATAAGATCACTTGGCCACCCTGCTCCCTCCTCAGCCTGGCATGGACAATGGGGAGGGATCAGCAATGGATCTGACTCTCAGGTCGATACAGTGCTCTGGGGCCTCAAAATGGCACCAGATACTGTATCCAGAGATAAGCCAGTGGGACCCTGCTGTACCTTCTCTTCTGGAGCAATGCTGCTGCACACTCTGCAGTGAGCTCCCTGTCAGTCTGGTCACCTGCTGTGGGAGAGCAGTCCTCTCACAGCTCTGATGGCAGTGTCCACAGGGGAAGTGTGCAGCCCTTGTCCCTTCCCCAGGTGCCGGTACCTTCCATGTGTACCTCCAATCCTGTCAAGCAGATTTTCCCACTTCTCTATCCTTCACTTTGGGTGCCCCTCATCTTCCTTGATTCCCAATGCTGTCTCTTAAATGATTGAGCCAAAGAGGAATATCCACTTGCCACTTTCCATCCTCTCCATGAGAACTGCATGCAGGCTGCCTCTAGTCTGCTGTCTTGGTGCCTCCATTTTTGTATCATTTTTAATAAATTTATTCAACGTAAATTTCACAAATTTTCAGGTTTTTATTAACTTGTTTTACTTACTTTTAAGGTAATATTTTAGCATCTCACCATGCCAAAAGTACTATGGCTTTAATCTTATTTCTCAATTCAGCCTTTCTGTATGCACTTGATTTCAAAGTGAACTGCTTTGAGTTCTTTCTTTAATCATCTTTAAAATGAAAATCTTCAACTGAATTCATGAAAGTTTATTTGTACTTTTTTTTTAAAAATAAGAATTATTCTGAGACTTTTGAGGCAGTTCAGTTGTGTGGTTGTGGAGCATGCTGAAGGTGGTTTAATGATCACTCAGGTCTGTGCCAGGTACTTGTCCAGTGTAAGGAAGGTACAAGTGAAGCTTGAGTGCCACCCAGGGCTAGGATTATACTTAGTCATGTCCATAAATCTAATTGTCTGGCTTCTGTCCAGTAATTACATGCTACTAAGTTTTTTCCTACTTCCTTATGACTATAGATATACAAAGCATAAATGTCTTATATGGATTATAAATATAAAGACATTGATATTTAGCATATTATTACAGAATAAAGGAAACAAACAAGAAAAAACAATTAAGTTTCTTTTTGTATCTTTTCGGGTAATGCAGAGATCCATGTGTAAACAGATATTAATATTCTATATGCAGAAAATGATTTACCTTAAATTGTATAATTGAACTGTAATGATAATTTTGTAATGCAGTATCTTGGAAATAATTTCTTCCTATGTAAACCATCATTTACTTTTTTCTTGTTTGTCATTGAAAATAATAGGCAAACTAAGTTTCCAACCATAGAGAACTGAAAAAAATAGTATGAAATAATAGCATATAGGCATTAAAAATCATGTTTATGAAAAATATGGGTTCCCCTTGTCCTCAACTACAGGAGACTGGCATTAAATAACTCAAAATGTTATTACAGACCAGTATTTACAATTTTCTCTGCTTTTATATTGGTGCATTGTTCACATTATATCTCCTAACTATTTTTTAACTTATATTTTATTTTATTACTTTACCTGCATAATTGAAACTTTCATCAACAGAACAAACAGAGCAATAGCAGCAATCATTTTTACTTCAGAATTTTGCCTCCTAGTAATCTGTTTTAAGAGCTTGCCCTAAATTTCACTGATTCTTAAAGCAGGGTCTGGTGGTAAACATGTCATCATGGAATTAAATTGTATTTCATTTTAGTTAATTTCCTGCCTATCAGTTAGCAAGTGGTGGTTACTGACTAAGACATTTTATGATGAAAAAGCCTCTGTGTTTAGAAGACAGTGAAGACATTCATGGAAGAGCAGTTCACTTCAGAATGGGAGTACTTGAGACACCAAAATAAGTACACAAACAGGCAATTACAGAGTTTTCAGTCTTTTCGTACCCTCATTGCATTTTGGGCACTGTATCTCTGGAATGTGTTGTGAATCTTTTTGACCATGTAAATTGCTTACATGATGTTTTCTGTTTTCATCTGATAATCTACCTTTCTTCTCTCTTTGCAGATGTCATATACTTTCCACCTAAAATTCTGACAAGTGTTGGATCCAACGTTTCTTTTCACTGCATCTATAAAAATGAAAACAAGATTGTTTCCTCAAAAAAGATTGTTTGGTGGATGAATTTAGCTGAGAAAATTTCTCAAAGCCAGTATAATATTGTGAGTGACCATATCAGCAAAGTTACTTTTCCCAATTTGAATGCAACCAAACCTCGAGGAAAATTTACCTACGATGCAGTGTACTGCTGCAATGAACATGAATGTCATCACCGTTATGCTGAATTATATGTGATTGGTAAGAATACTGAGGTTTTGTTCATTTTGTTCCACAAGTTAACTTTTCATTATGGACCCTCCCTATATTAGAGTCCCATTGAAGATGTAAGGAAAATTTGTTTCATTAACATTTTTGGTGTTTTTGCTTTATAATAATATTTTGATGTGTTTTAAATAGATGTCAATATCAAAATATCCTGTGAAACTGATGGGTACTTAACTAAAATGACTTGTAGATGGTCCACCAATACAATCCAATCACTTGTGGGAAGCACTTTGCAATTGAGATATCATAGGTATGTATTATTTTTGCTGTTTTGGTTTTCTGTGGGTATGGTGATATAAAAATTTTCTATAGAAATATCACCATAACAGTAGTCTTATAGATTATTGTCTTCCTGAAAGAGGAAGGTAGGATACAATCAATTGGAGAATTTTTGATGGATAATATGAATTGGTGATTTTTAAAAGGCATTCACATATGAGGTTAACAGATTGTAATTGTTTTTACTTCAAATTATCTTTTCTGACAATCAGTTTCATATAATTGCATTTTAACTTTTGAATGAAATACAACAAAAATTATTTTAAATACATTTTAATTTGACTTAGAGAATTGACTAGTGGGAAATGTGGAGGATTATAAAAGTTTAACATCATTTGGCTAAAGATTAATGTTTTGGAAAAATTTCAGATAGAAACAAAGATTGTAAAAGACAATATGAATAGTTCTTAGAACTAGGAGAGGTTGTTTAGGAAATAAACACTTAATAATTAATAAAGAATAATGTGTTCTAATAACAAGTAATTTGCTCCTTTTTAAAAATTTTTTGTTTTAAAAAAGATTCAGGGCATCATCTTCATATAAAATCTTCTGTCTCGCTACAAAGCATTTTATTTTAAATGGTATCAGCTTTGATTAGAAGATAGATACATCTTTATTTTTAAAATATAGCGTAGTAGTTTTCAAGTATGTGTACTGCTCTTAAATACTATGTTGCACTTTGTATTGGAAACTTAATTTGCATAATATGCTAATTTATTCTCAAAATCTAAATTTTCCAACTTGAAAAATAAATCCTCTCTCTCAAATACTGTGATCTGAATTCGATTCCTAATGCTGTTAGTTTATTCTTATGTAGTATTAGAAAAAAATGTAGCAATTTCTACATTTCTTCAGTGGGAATAATAGCTGCCTTCATCCTACCTGACATGAGTATTTTAAAATCAGTGTTCATGGTATGACATTTTACTTTTATAATCTGTCTTCATGTTCTTTCCATGGTGTTTTCATGTTTAAAAAGGTGTTTGTGGAAGACTATTATATAAATCCCACGCTTCATTTATCTTTAGTAACGTTTACAGAATAACCATGGAACTCACTGCATATACTTGGGCACATTTTCTACCTTCCCTAGGCCTCAGTTTCCTTGTGTGTGAAATGGAGAGACTAATAGGACTTACAGGGTTCCTGTGAGAATTTGTGACGTATTTCACTTAATTATAATTAAATGATGTAATTACTTTTAGTAAACATTCAATAAATGCTTATTGCTGTCATGATGGTAATGATGTGACCTTTGGATTCCAGTGGGCTGTAACTGCTTCTACACTGTTCTTATCTTATATGTGCAGACGACCTCTCACCCCTCATTGTCATTGTTGCCCACTCGCCACCACTTATTCATACACACACACATACACACACACACACACACACACACACACATATACATCCATGTATTATAATTTTGAGGATATAAGAAAAAGGAGTGTTACGAAAAATGAAAAATGAGAGAAGAATATACATTTTTTTATCTCCTTCCAACCTCCTCACTTCCATCTCTATGGAAAGAGTAATTGCTACTTTGGCCATTTTACATACCGTATTTAGAGCAAATAGTGGCAGAAGAGCCACTTCAAAGAAAAGGAGAACTGCTTTATGTGTTCTAAGGTGAAGTGCTGGTTAGGATTCATTTATAAACACTTTTTTTCTTAATTTTCTCCTCTGGGAAAATGAGTATACCTAATTGTATAATTGATATAAATATCAGGGATTGGTATTATTTTAATTTATATTAATATGAACTAGAAAATATTAAGGCATTGTCAACTAATCTTTAGTTTACTGACAGTTACAATCTCAGTTTGTGTTGGAATTTAATCTTCTATTTAAAGTGTGAGGAATTTGTCTTCCTTCCCATTCCAGGAATGCTCCATTACTACTTTTGATCTATACTTTTAATATTGTATTACTAATGTATAACATTAGTTTAACTTTCAAAGTATTGTAGGTTCTATGTCTAACTGGAGCATTATCTGCTTCTTAGAGCATTTAATTTTGTTTATATCCCCACATGGTGTCTAATGAAATATTTAATGAGCCACTGTCAGTTTCTATGGAAAGACTTAAGATTGGGATATAGATGGGAATTTAAGAATGTCTTTCTAATAAGAACACCTATTTTTAGATGGAGCAAAACTGTCTCTCTTTTAAATAACACATCAGAATTCTTGGATATTTTCTTATTGCTTTTATCAATGTTGTATAATAATTGACTATTTTTATATCTTTTAAGGAGCAGCCTTTACTGTTCGGATATTCCATCTATTCATCCCATATCTGAACCCAAAGATTGCCATTTGCAGAGGGATGGTTTTTATGAATGCATTTTTCAGCCAATCTTCCTATTATCCGGTTATACAATGTGGATTAGGATCAATCACTCTTTAGGTTCACTTGACTCTCCACCAACATGTGTCCTCCCTGATTCCGTGGGTATGTCAAACTGTGTTGTATGTCTTCATTTTTATTAGCAGATTTGAATGCAGATTGATTTAGGGTTAATGTATCTTACCATTTTCTGATCATACAGGATTTTGAAAAAATATATTCTGGTTTACAGTGGAATTGAGAAGATAATCAGTCTTAGAAAGTTTTGCCGTTTTGAATTCATTTAAAATTATTTATAGCATACTTTTTCAGCAATACGATATTTTCAGCACACTATTTGATAAGTCACATGGGTCACTGTGAATTAATTATAGTAATGTTTTTCTAAATACTGCATTATTTCCTGTTTTTCTTCCAGTGTACTTGTGAAAACATCTGGTATTTTTAGTTCAAAAGTTTGATTGGGGTATTCTGAGGGTCTTGGTAATCTGAGTAGTAATAATCCAAGGCTTTAATTTGTTATGCTGGGTAGGGTATAAAAGCATTCATAAAACTAAATTGAAGTGGAGAAAATAGACAAAGATGATGACATACATCATAATATTTAAAATATTCTTTTCAAAAGATAATTTGATTTCAAAGATACTAAGAGAGCCCTTAGAAAATTTGATATATCCTTCCAATAGCATTGTGAAATCTTTAAGAAATGACTCATTAAGGATTGTGCAACAGAAATAAAAGAATGTCTTTTGATGCTGTATACTATTTTGTTGGGAAATTATGTCAAAAATCAGTATCTGGCAGGGATGAAGAGGGGCATTCCAGCCACAATCCTGGAGCCCACTGATGTACCAGGCGTTAAGCTTTTAGGTGCTGAGTTATGGGCAGGTGTGGTGGGGATCCCATGTGCACTCCTTCTGGAGGAGATGTTCCTCAGGGGAGCAGGTCTTTACCAGCTGGTATGGAAGTACTGAAAGTTTTTAACAACCGGTTTGGCATATCACCTGAATAGATGTCCTCTACATAAAATCTTCTTCTGTTAATGCAGATAATCAAGACATGACTATGGAGGTGTAATTCTGCATTGTAAAGTTGATGCTTGGAGTTATGACAAAGTTAGGAGCCCCAGAGGCTCTCTGTTTTGCTTGGGCTTTCTGGCTTTTAGTGCCTAATATGTCAAATTTCCATATTGCCTTTTATTATTGTTGTTAGAAAGAGTGGCCCTCTAAGTAAAAAATTAAGGAGAAAATTTATATAGTGAATATAAGCCTAAGCTAAAGTTTTGACTTTAGCTCTGAAAGCAGCAACATAGAAAGATATTGGGAAAACAAAAAAGATAACTTTTTTTTAAAGTGTTATTAAGAGTGGTACTGTTTTTTTTCTTTGAGACAGAGTCTCACTTTGTTGTCCAGGCTAGAGTGAGTGCCATGGTGTCAGCCTAGCTCACAGCAACCTCAAACTCCTGGGCTCAAGCAATCAGCCTCCTGAGTAGCTGGGACGACAAGCATGTGCCACCATGCCCGGCTAATTTTTTCTATACATATTATTTGGCCAATTAATTTCTTTCTGTTTATAGTAGAGATGGGGTCTCGCTCTTGCTCAGGCTGGTTTTGAACTCCTGACCTCGAGCAATTCTCCCGCCTCGGCCTCCCAGAGTGCTAGGATTACAGGCGTGAGCCACCGCGCCCAGACAAAAGATAACTTTTTCCTGTGCACTTCTATGACTCTGTGTGTGTGTATCTAAAAAAGCTGTTTTAAAAAATTCACCCTCCATCATTCAGGTCATCGTTGCGTCTATTTCTGCCCATTTAAAGCCTGTTTTCCTCATATTATAGAAAACCAAGGCTTTACTTGAGAGTCTATCTCTGTCCTTGACCTAGAAATACTTAATAATAGACAGCCAAAGAAGAGTTTCAAACTCACACATGTGGAAATTGATGCAGTGAATGTTTTCTTGCCTTTAAAGTTCTATGTAGAACGGAGTTTGCTGTTGATACTTGTTCTGTGCTCAGTATAGTATCTTTTGCGTGCAGAGCCGATGGCTCAGTTTCTACAGGTGTTTACTATTAACTTACAGAGTGACATGGATAATATATTGCTTTATTTTCAGCTAACCTCTTAATTTGAAAAATACAGATAATCCCTTTTTTAATGTCGCGCATAAATTAACAGGGGAACAAATGAGATAATGAATGAAAAAGTTTTGAAAAATAGATATTGCTTTATAAATATAAGATATAAAAATATAACAACGTTTTAAAGCATTATTACTATTTAAATTACCATTACATAATACTGTTTTTTACATTTCTAGTGAAGCCACTGCCTCCATCCAGTGTAAAAGCAGAAATTACTGTAAACGTTGGATTATTGAAAATATCTTGGGAAAAGCCAGTCTTTCCAGAAAATAACCTTCGGTACCAGATTCGCTATGGCTTAAGGGGAAAAGAAGTACAATGGAAGGTACCTTTACTTAAAAATTTCTTCAGCTTTCCTCACTAAGTGCTGTTTTTATAATGTTTAAGTTTTATTGCATAGATTAAGTTTATGGTCATAAAAGTACATCCCCCTGTGTTCTGTAGCTATTTTCATTACATAGATTTATTTTAGTCTAAGCCTTTTAAGGAACAAAATTTCCTGCAATCCGTCAGTTCCCAAAGTGTGTTTTGGAGAGCATTGTTGTCACAAAATGTTCCTTGAAGAAGGATCATGTGGCTAAGTATGTTTAGTAAACCCTGTGTCGCTGTGTCTTCCTAGTGTAGATTTGTGGTGTATGTTTTACACATCAAAGGTTTGAAGAGGTCTTACATTAAAGTAATATTTGTGACTTTATTTCATCCCATATTCCCCAAACTCGTTTTCTCAAGGAACTCTTTTTCCTTGACATCTGTTAATAGCTTTCAGTGCATATATGTTCATAGGAATGCATTTTGGAGAAGCTGCTTTTCAAACAACTAGAATCATCATTTCTATATGTCAAGAGTGCCTATGATGACTCTCAGTTTTGTGATGGCAGCCTGCAAAGACCTAGAAATATCACGAACCCTTATTATATCATTAGATCACAATGATATCAACTAAAACAAACGTGACAGTTTAGCTGCTTATTGAGGGAGACTGTCTATCCGAGAGTCTTTATAGCAGGCCCTATCTAGCCAATAGGTTAAAAGCCTAAAAAATCTTTGTGGATAGGGGATTAGTGGACAAGGATTATTAGCAAGGCAAAAGAGTATTTGGGAAACGAGGTTGCATGTGAACCAGTACAAAATCTTGTCATCATTAAGAAAATGACAAGATGAGTAAGAAAATTCTTGATACTCCAAGCCTAATGTGACTTTCTGAAGCCAGAAAATGCAAAATCGGTTCTGTTAATTTTGAAATAGTGTTAAGGTTTTAAAATAAAATGTACTTTAGGGCCCTTTGGATACATATGTGTTAGTAGTGATCAATCGGATGCTTTGACTTATTTTTACAGATGTCTGAGGTGTATGATGCAAAATCAAAATCTGCCAGTCTTGCCGTGCCAGACCTGTGTGCAGTCTATGCTGTTCAGGTGCGCTGTAAGAGGCTGGATGGGCTGGGCTATTGGAGTAATTGGAGCAATCCAGCCTACACAGTTGTCATGGATATAAAAGGTCTGCAGAGATTTTTTGTGAATGTGTTTTGAAAGTGCATAAGTGTGTTTCAAATATGGCTGAAAAATAATGCTTCCAAAAACATATATACAACTTGGGTTCCTTGTCATTTTGCAGTTCCTATAAGAGGACCCGAATTTTGGAGAATAATTAATGGAGATATTACAAAAAAAGAGAGAAATGTCACCTTACTTTGGAAGGTATTCCTGCTTTTTATGTTATTCTTAAATTTTACTTTTATACTCTTAAAAAATTCACTTCATTGTTCATAATCCTGTGATTATTAATCTCCAGAAAACTCTGCGATTCCATATTTTTATTCCAGTTTTGAGATGTGATTGTAGAGAGCTAAGTTGTAGTATAGCGGCTGGAACATTAGCATGGAGTTAGGAGATTTTAATTTTCTTCTCACCTTAACGTATTACAGTATGTCAGTACTCTTTTGGCAAAGTCACTTAGACTCTTTGGGCCTCAGTTTCCTCATCTGTATAAATGCAACATTGAACTAGATGATATCTAGTGTTCCTTCGAGTCCAAAAATTGTATTCACATTTAATCCTGAACAATGTGTGGCCTTCCCCACACATCCCAAAGGCATCTGAAACATGAGATTATTCCATTTGTAAGATGGCTTATAAGCAATAGATATGTCCATAAATGATGGATATTCAGCTTAGCAATTTTCAAAGCATCCTCTATCCCAAGTGAATTAATGTCTATCCCAAGTGACTAGAGGATTTGCTCAGTAGATACCAATTGGATACCAGTAGATACCAAAACAATTTTTTGCTTTTCTTTTATTTTAGGACCATCCACATCTGATAAGTAGATACCAAGTTTAAGATTGATTTGGGAATATACACATGAAGCGAAATAGTGTTTTTGTTACCTCGAATGTGAAATTTAAGTTTAATCCCCAAGGAGTTGAATGAGCATAGTTTGAAAATGGTTTCTTGATTTAAGACCAATCCCTATGTAAGAATTGGGGTATATAAGGCTTTATATTCATTTAGATTGTAAGTCCAATTACTACATAATTTCATTTGATTTATAATGAATGTAATTTCTAAACTGTTTTCTTCTTCAAGATTTCTAAATTAAAGTTAACATTAACAACTAGCATTGACATTTATTAAACATTTATTGTATTCCAAGAAATTTATAGATATCTCCACTTCCCAGGGAATTCAGGGCCTGTACTCTAAGAGATTGAGTGGGTTATTGAACTCATTGAGGAAGGAGGCACTGCTGAATAAGAAACACCAACTTGCCCAACAGATTTCTCTCTCTCTCTCTTTATTTATCTCCATGGACCTTGCCTCAGAGATCTACAGTGAGAGATCAGCAGTGATGTTCCCAAGGCAGTGGTAGGGCCAGCCATGAGCAGAATTTAAATAGCATTTCTTTTGCTTTAATTTATCCTCTCGTAGGCTGTAGCCAGCTGCCCTATGGTCCAGGATGCAGCTACTCCCCCTTTCTCCTCCCACTCCAACAAAACAATCGTCTTTGTTCTCAGACAGTTCTTGTGTTTTCCTTATATCATGGATTCCATGTTTCCTCGGCAAAACTGTCCAGTAGAACTTTCTGTAATGATGGAAATGGTTTACATCTGCATTGTCCAATATGGTAGTCACTAGCCACATTGAGCGCTTGAATGTGCCTAGTGTGGCTCAGAAACTGGATTTAAAATTTGGATTGGCTAGTGGCTGTCATATTGGTCAGCAAAGCACTATGGGTTCTTTAGGGTGGATTTGTGGGAGGGAGACAGCACTCTTGCTAATCTACCATCCTTACAGGAACTTGAATGCCTGTTATTAGCTGAAATGTCCTTCATTAAATTTGTTTTTGTGATGTATTGTTTTGTTTTGGTTTCCTAATGTGAGGTTAAATAGTTCAATGATTACAGTTCTCCAAGCCTGTGCTTCTCAGACTGGGTTAAGATTTGCCCCAGGGTATATAAAGGATAAGCCACAAGGCCACAGGATAAGTGTAGCACTTAAAAAAAAACAACCATCATTTCTCTGGCATCTTTTAAATAATAAACTTTATTTTAGAGCAGTTTTGATTTACAAAAATATAGCAAAGATAGTACAGAGAATTCCCATATACACCCATACCCAGTTTTCTCTATTAACATCTTACAGTAGTATGATACATTTTTTACAATTATTATAATTAAGCATTATTGATATGTTATCATTAACTAAAGTCCATAATTTATTAAAATTCATATTTACTTAGTTTTCATGAAATGGTCTTTTCCTGGTCCACGATTCCATCCAGGATAGCACATGACATTTAGTGGTCATGTCTCCTTATGCCTCTCCTGGCTATAAAAGTTTCTTAGATCTTCTTTGTTTTTGATGAACTTGACACATTTGAGGAGTACTGGTCAGGTATTTGGTAGAATCTCTGTCAAATGGGTTTTATCTGATGTTTTCTCATGATTAGATTAGAGTTATGGGTTTGGGGGAGGACCATAGATATTAAGTGCCATTTCATGATATCATATTAAGGCTACATGCTACCAACATGACTTAGCATAGTTGATGTTGACCTTGCTCACCTGGCTGAGGTAGTGTTTGCTTGCCCACTGAAAAGTTACTCTTTTTTTCCCTTTCCACACTTTACTTTTTGAAATGAAGTCCTTATATGCAGCTCATCTTATGGAGTGGGAATTATGTTCCATCTACTTGAGGGTGGAAGATGTACATACATTCTTTAGAATTCTTCTCCCACCTGGTTTATTTATTAAAACAGTGTGGACAATGGATATTTTATTCTATACTCTGTGTCATAATCCAATGCTACTTTATTTGGTTGCTCAAATTGTTCCCACATCAGTCATTGGGTGCTCTCTTAATGACTCATGTCACTTTGACATGTCCCCATCGTTGTAGAGTTTTTCCCCTTTAATTTTTGAGTGCTGCTAAGTTGGACTTGATTAAAATTAGAAACTTACGATCTGGGAAAGACTGTTAAGAGAATAGAACTTTGGAAATGAGTATAGTCTCAAGCTAAGGCACAAATTTGCAAAATGCATTTTTAATAAAGGACTTTGAATCAAATTACACAAAGAACTCTTAAAATTCAACAGTAGGAAAATAATGTAATTAAAAATGGGCCAAATGTCTAAACAAAAACCTAACCAAAGTAGATGTACAGGTGGCAAATAAGAATATTAAAAGACGTTCAACATCATTTGTCACTAAGGAATTTCAAATTAGAATGAGATATCACTCCACAATTATCAGAATGGCTAAATCCAAAAAAAACCCCTGACAATTCAAATTGCTAGTGATGATGCAGGATAACATGAACTTTTATTCATTGCTGGTGGAAATGCAAAATGTCACAGCCACTTTGGAAGACAGTTTGGTAGCTTCTTAGAGAGTTAAATGTAGCCTTATCATGTGATGCAGAATTGCGCTCCTAGGTATTTACTCAGCTGATTTGAAAACTGATGTTCACATAAGTTGCACATGAATGTTCAAGTAGCTTTATTCATAATTCTCCAAACTGGAAACAATCAAAATACCCTTCAAACGTGAAACTAGGGCTGAGCAAGGTGACTCACTCCTCTAATCCCAGCATTTCAGGAGGCAGGAGGAGGATCGCTTGAGGCCAGGAGTTTGAGGCCAGCCCCGTCTCTCCCAAAAATAAAAAAATATTAGCTAGGCATGGTGGCATGTTCTCATTATTACACCAGAAAGTTACAGACAAGTAACAAAATGATCTATGTGGCAATGAATGAGAGTTGGAGACATCACTATAAACCCATATTTAGCTTAATATATGTATAGACGGATTCTGGGTTATTATACATGCACATTTCCGTGATTTGTAAGCTTAGAGAGCCTAAAAGTAGTGACTCCCAGTAGTAGGGTGGGTGTCTGGATTTGTTTCTAATACCGTCATGCAATAAAGCAACCAGGACTATTGGGAAAAGTGGCTAAATTTAGGGCTGGGGCAGAAAATACACAAGATGAGTGTGGACCATCTTGCAATATCAGAAAGTAAGGAAGTTTAGCATTACTTTTACTTTATGGTTATAAAAAAATATTTGTATATTAAAGCTGACATGGATTTTTCAAATACAGTGCAAAATTTGCATGACTTTTGAGGCATTTGTTTCTCACAGCGTTTGCTAAAATCTTACTCCCAACCTACCCAGATGATTCCAAGCTCTGCAGTGATACTTGTATATATGTTTATTTTTCTCTGCCATTTCTAAATTAGAGGCATATCAATGGCAAAAAAAAACCCCAAACAACAAAAAACTGAGACTATTTTAGTCTATGGTATAGAGTCCAGCTTTCTATGGGGTTATAAAGGATTGATAGTATTTAATCTTACCTGCAACAGGTGAAGGTGATGGGGAAGTAGAGTATATTGTTAGACCCTGTAGAATGCAAGAATAGATTGAACTACATATGTATTTTATATCCAAATCTTCAATGACTTGGTATATTTTTTTAAACTATAGGTCAGAAATTCTGGAGTGCCATATACCCCTGTCTTGATAGCTTCTTTCACTTGTTAGTCTTTACAAACTCTTCCTACTTATTTTAAATAATCAGAGGAAGGGAAAATGAATGACATATCTTGGTAGGATTAGTATAAGTGATGATTAACATCTTCTCATCTCTTCTTGTCAAGGCTTTACATAATCTGAGGGTTATTTCTTGTTTGTTTTTTAGATGAGCAAACTATTCCTTGTCAGTCTTTCTCTTCTCTAAAATTACAGTGAGATTTCTTGGTAGAAGAGTGTCCTAATTATGTCCTTACTTGATTATCTTCAAGTGATTTATTCTCTGGGTCTTAAGAAAAAACCTGAAAAGGGAAAAATAAGTTTCCTGTGCTTCATAACCACTCAAACACCTTCATGGAGACTGTGGCGGAGGCAGCCTCTATCGTACCCCAGCCCCACCTCCCCAGTCCCCAGCCTTATGGTATGTAGTGCCTGTCCTGGTACGATCCTTGCCTCCTGATGAGAAATGTATAATAAGAATTCCATGAGCTCAGTTGGTATAAAAAGCCCTGCAGTTCTTAAATTAATCAATTTTTATGTTTACTACAGCCCCTGATGAAAAATGACTCATTGTGCAGTGTGAGGAGATATGTAATAAACCATTATACTTCCCGCAATGGAACATGGTCAGAAGATGTGGGAAATCACACTAAATTCACTTTCCTGTGGACAGAACAAGCACATACAGTTACAGTTCTGGCCATCAATTCAATTGGTGCTTCTTTTGCAAATTTTAATTTAACTTTCTCATGGCCTATGAGCAAAGGTAAGAATATGTACAAGGTAATAATCCATTGCCCCTTTTAATGTTCAACCTTTGGAAACGCTTCCCATTCTAAATTATCTTCCAAGCAGCCTGCAATTGTCTGCATTTCAAAGTCTCTCTTTCACCATTCATCTCTTCTCTTCTTTGTCTGAAAAATAACAAAATACCTTGTGTACTGATTATGTAATAAGTCCTTGAGTTCAATTGGTAGAACATTGTTGAAATAGTGTTACAATAAAGGAGAATATTCTAATAAATCTAATGCTTAAATCTATGTATTAGAGTTGGGCCAGTGGAGGTTGTTGGTCAACATCTCTCTCTCTCCATATATGTATGTGTGTATAAATAAAATGTCTGTGAGTATATAAGTAAATATGTGAAAATAATTACGTATATAGTATTATATTTGTAAAATACTATACATAATAGTAATAATGTGACATGTTATGCGGATGCAGGTTAATTGCTGAGACTGAAAAATTACTGTGGACTTCATTTAACGTGAATGGTGAACTTTCCTGCATTAATTTTGATATATTCGATTAATCAGAGAGTTGAGAACCACTTTCCGTAGGAGTTTCTAATCTAGATTATATATTCAAAATATACATTTCTAATACAAAATACAAATTTTCTGTATCTCTACCAATTTATAAAGGCCTTTCCAAATTTTTTTTTTACATATTTTTATTTTTAGTTGTCCAGATAAATTTATATTTTTAGTAGAGCTGGGGTCTCGCTCTTGTTCAGGCTGGTCTTGAACTTCTGACCTCAAGCAATCCTCCCGCCTTGGCCTCCCAGAGTGCTAGGATTACAGCCGTGAGCCACCGTGCCCAGCCTAGCTTTCCAGATGTTATGTCCTCCATGAAGTCTTTCCTTATTGCTTTAATTGAATATGTCCTATCCCTTCTTTAAATCTCAGAGTGCTTTCTACCATTATTAAGGTATTTTATATCCTGCCTTATATTATGATTACTTTTGTATTTATAGTGTGAGCTTCTTGTAAGTTCCATAGCACCTACCACAATGTCTTGCACTTATTTGTTGAGTGCTGCAGTGCACTACATGGTGGGGATTCCAGTGTGAGGAAAACTATAATGGTCACAGCATCCAGAATGGAATAAGCGGGACAGATATTAATCAGATAATCAGACAGGTGAATGTGTCTTTTCAAACTGAGATAAGTGCCCTTAGGAAAGGAATATAATTTTATCCAGGAAAAGAAAAAAGGAACCTGACCTGGCACTGAGGGTCAGAGAAGCCACCTTGAGGAAGTGGTATTGAACTGATATCTGAAATCTGAATAGGAATTAAACTTTCACAGGAGGTGGAGGGGGCGGGTGGGAAAAGCATTGGCTCCTGACAGGAACAGCAGGATCAAAAGTCTTTATGGCCCAGGATAGGAAATGAAGACCAGGTTGGCTCTGGTGTGAAAAATCACGACAGGCAGAGAAAGAGGTTGGGACTTGGCCCTCGGGGCCTTGTAGGCATGATAGGAATTTTATCCTCAAATGTGGAAATCCACTGGAGGCTTTTAAGTGGGTCTTTATGCAGAGGGTGTTAAAATAACAGATTTATACTTTGAAGCATCACTCTATCAGCAAGAGAGAAGAGTTTGGAAGGAATCAGAGAGGATGGTTAGTAGACTTGTGCAATATTCCAGCTGAGAAAACTTTTTGACTGTATCATAAATTTTTTTTTTTTTTAGATTTTAGAAAGAACCACATTTCTCCTCAATTTCACATATTTCCATATTTCTCTGCTTATATGACTCTCATGATACAAAAATGATTGCCATGTATTACATTTATCTGTATAAATTGCCTGCCTTCTCTTCCTTCACCCCTCCTCCAGTAGGTTATAAATTCCTCAAGGGTATTAGTAGATTTTCATTACGTTTTGAATTTAAAAATAAATTTCTTTCTTTTCCCCTCAGTAAATATCGTGCAGTCACTCAGTGCTTATCCTTTAAACAGCAGTTGTGTGATTCTTTCCTGGATACTCTCACCCTGTGATTACAGTCTAATGTATTTTATTGTTGAGTGGAAGAATCTTAATGAAGATGATGAAATTAAATGGCTTAGAATCCCTTCATCTTTTAAGAAGTATTATATCCACGGTAAGTTTACTATACTTTGGTAGTTTTCTCTCATGGATTAGTATGACACTACAGATTATTAATTCAATTACTGTAGATAGTTAATGAAAACTTCAAAAATATAGATGGTCCTACCATCTTACTATATATAATCCTATTACCTTATCAAAACATTTAATTCTATTTCCTTTGATTCCTTTTCATTTTAATATTTTGCATAGTTGTAATTTTACCATATCATATGTTTTTCTCTCTAATCCTTTCTACCATTATTTTTAATGATCATATAACATTTTATTCCATAATCTACCTAAGCTATTTATTGATTTGAGATTATTAATGTGGCTTCTAGCTTTACCTTCTGTTAAACCATTTTTAATGGCTTGTGATGTCTAGTGCTGAATTGTCTCCCCAAACTGTATACCAAAAAATAATGCCACATGGGTTAGAGTGCTAGGCTAAAGGTCTGAGGATCCAGGACCTGGGCCTAGGTCAGCATAATCTCCCGAAGGTAGACCATTATTCCAGGAGGCGAGTAAAGCACAAAGTATAAGTGTACAGTATAGCATCTCTAAATCTGAGTAAGGATTAAGGGAAGTTAAGTAGGGAAGCTAGGGATTGCCATGACCTTTTTATATACTGTCATCTCAAGAACTTATGCCTTTATTTCATTCCAGATACCTAGAATTTAGCATTAGGGTAAATGTATTTACAAATTATTGATGAAGAACTGAATTCAGTCCATTACCACTGTTGTCCAGGTGATTACTCTCTGTGCTTTTCTGTAAAGCATGGGGATATAAAATTTAGGCTTTAAAGAGATTTGTCTTCTTCTTTTCTTATGGAATAATATATATTATTAGCACATGTGAAAATCATTGATAGATCCATTTGGAGCTTTGCTATGGAACGGTCATTCTCTGTGGATCTAGATCCTAGATATTGCAAGGGGACTCCTGGTCTTCACCGCCATGTTCTTTGCATAGGCTTTCACAAGACTTTAGTCTCCCAGCTACCTTGAATGGGGAAACTAAGTAAGCTAAATTTCTATAAAAATGGATTGTTACCTGCTTTGGGGCTCAGAGAGAGGAGGTAGAACATGTTGTCCTGGAAAAAGGAGATGAGGGACAGAAACAGCTCATACACCCTGAACTTGAACACATTGGCAATCATTGGAACAAGCCTTTAAAACATTACAATCTTCTATTTCTGGGTAAAGTTTTTAAAACATTATTTGGAAAATTATTGTCATTACTAGAGAATTTGCTTCCATCGTTTTTTAAACTCCCTTAATCATCAGTTCAATGTATAAATAACAACTAATTTTTATGTTTGGAAATATAGGATAGACACTTTCATTCTTTTTAACATATGTTTCACTCATTGATGTTAATTAAGTATAAACGAGCCTTTTATGTACTTTTCTCCTCAGACCATTTCATCCCCATTGAGAAGTATCAGTTCAGTCTTTATCCAATATTTATGGAAGGAGTGGGAAAACCGAAGATAATTAATAGTTTCACCCAAGGTAAAATTTTTAATTTTAGTTTCTTTTAACAGCAACGGACATTACCTAATTTTTTAGCAGTAATGTTACCATTTGTTTATTCTTTCTCTGATGGAATTATAGAAGAGTCTAGACTCTTAAGTAGATGTATCATGAAGTTATTCTGAAGGAAATATTTTTTTCCTCTAAAAATAAACTGGAGAGATAGTTACAGAAATAAACTCACTGGGCCTCCTATATTTCTGATTCATCTTACTGTACTTAAGTACCAACATTTGAATCTTGTTATTACTTTCAAAATTGTCTTCAAATCCAAGCAGCCCAATAATGAAATAAATAAAATTAATTTAAAAAATTAATTTATGTATTATTCAACCAATATTTATTGAGCACTATTTTGAGCACTGGGGATTGAATACTGAGCATAAGACTCCATTCTTATGGAGCTTAAACTCCAGTGCTCTTCTGGGAGTGATGGACAATAAATAATGTATAATATAATGTCAGATTGAAACATGTGCCATGAAGGAAAATAAAAGTAAGATGAAGGTACAGAGTTAAAATGTGGTTTCAGTCAAGATAGCCAGAAATGGTGTCTCTGGAGAGGTAAAATTTGAGGAAAACCCTGCAAGAACTTCATGTTGCATAAATAGGTTCTTGGAAACTGCAACTTTCAGTGAAAGGATGTATAGGGGGTCCTTGAATAATGTTACATTGTTTCCTTCAACGTAGTTTTGTTAAAATGCTGATGAGAAAAAAAATTGGTTTCATTATACTTAAAGTTGCAGTTTTCAAGAACCTATGGACCATGTGAAGTGAGAACTTACTGTACAAAGCAAAAGAGCGGTCCAGGCAAAGGGACAGTGGCAATGGCCTTGAGGGATGAGTATGCTTGGTGGTTCAAGAAACAGCAAGGAGGTCTGTGTGTCTGGCGTGAACAAAGTAGAGATTAGCAGGTGTTGAAGCCAATGCTGAGACAGAGTCATCATGACAACTTTAATGGACACCTTTGACTCATATAACCTAAAAGTGACCAGATGAGGAGGATAGGCAAATAAATAATTTTGAAAAAATGTTTTGCGCATTTATAGGTATAATATTGAATAAAATAACAATTATTTTATTACTGTGATCAAAACACAATTTTATCTTTCTTTTTGTTTTTGAAGGTAATACAGAAAAAAGTCTACTATAATTTTTGATGCAGACAGAAATTAACATTTCCTCAAGCTTCTGAGTTGTGTGACTTGTATTTCTTTTTCAGATGATATTGAAAAACACAAGAACGATGCAGGTCTATATGTAATTGTGCCAATAATTATTTCCTCTTCCATTTTATTGCTTGGAACATTGTTAATATCACACCAAAGGTATCGTACTTAGTGTTAAGAACTTTTATGGCAAAAGCCCTTAACCATATTTAAACCTTGATTTAAAGCCTAAATCAGGAATATTAAATTATTCTAAATGGTTTTATATATATGTTCAGTATACAATTAAGATGATATAAAAAGGAAAGGCCTGTTTTCAGGAAGTGACATTTGATTTTGCTAGGGCAACATAAACCTCAAGGAAGAATTTAGTTTTTTTATATTCAGGGAATCAGAGGCTTGTAACAGAAAATCCTAGGCAATATATTCTCTGAGGTGGAAAAAAATGGCCTTCAGAGTTCTTCAGTTTGGGTGGAAGACTTTTCATGGTGAAGCGGAGGTTAAAAGTAGACTTCTAGTGGAGACCTGGAGTAGTCAGTTCATTTATGATCAGCGGGCTCTCTGCTCTTTAGAGATTGGCACTGTGTGGCTCCCGTCTGTCTGATTTGTCAGGCAGATGGCCTTGGATTTCCCTGGATGATTCGATGGTTGCCACATTACTTGCACTGAGTCCAGACCAGTGAGGTTATTTTACACATGCCAAATCTTTACAGAAACTTCTGTCTTTCAGTAAAAAAGAGCGAGAGGGTATTTCAGAATCTGAATTTTAGTCAATTGAGTTGATGGGGCCATAGCAAATGGAATTGTTTCTGATACTCACTTGATGGCCATTTAATATTTCATTTTCTCTGGGAAAAACCTATGCAGTGTTTTAGCATGGTGCTTGGCACACAGATTTTCACAGATATTGGCTTTTTATTATTAAAGGGCTTATTAACTTTGCTCTAGAATGAAGTTTGGTGGAAATGTTTGTGGGCTAGCACATGAAAATGAATCTCACTCTATTGAAGCATAGCTGGTCCAGTGGACTAATGTCTAGTTTGTGTATTCATGAACTGCTAACATTTTCAATCTGAATGTTTTTCTGTAGTTCTGATGGTTTCTATCTTTTGTAGAATGAAAAAGCTGTTTTGGGAAGATGTTCCTAACCCCAAGAATTGTTCCTGGGCACAAGGACTTAATTTTCAGAAGGTCACTTTTTCAATTTTTTTTTTAAACCTAGAATATATCAGATTGTATTTTAATGCCATCTGTCTTCTAGAGCTTTAAACATTTTTAGGATTTAAAAGTTCTTATTTTATTCAATCCATTTTAATATGTCTTTTTAATCTACTCCGTATTTTCAAGAATAGCAGGATACAGGGGTTTAGAACCAGGAGAAAAGAAAATTCAGTACAGTTTGTCATGAGAGTTGACTATATATAAATATGTATATTGCCAACTGTGTCACAGTGCAAAAAAATAAATATTAGAATATGAAGGGTCAAATCTGATGGAGAACAGCAATTAGGATACACTTTTTTGGTATAAATTGTTTTTAGGCAAAAGGCTGGAATCGGTATTTTTAATCTCTATAATTATCTTCATAATTATTTAAATAAATTTAAGTATTAAATAAATAATCTTATCCTCAAACACTACAATCTGAAAAATGCAGGTATCATAATAAAACTCATATTTCTATAGATAGTCTCATCAAGTGATAGTACTTTATGAGACAATCAACTATAATGAAATAATTTGTACTTATTACTATAGGAGAATTTTAGAAAGCTCTAGAGTTTAATGAATGTTTTATTAATTCTCATAATTTCCCTTGAAGCAAAGTTGGCTTTCCACCCATAAGATTGGAAAAATAGAATTCAGTCTTCATGTCAAAACACACGATTTTAAAACAGTACTTATTTGGAGGTTATTATGCATCCTCAAGGATTGCATCTTTATCATTAGTCACTTGTTAAAAAGCCTACAGTGATTTTTTTTTTTTTTTTGGCTACAAGAGAAAATACAGTCCCCTTAAACTAGTATTCAGGAACCTCTTTTTACAATCTGTTATCAACCTACATATCCAATTTTTTCTGTCCCTGGGTCTTGATTAGGCCTTTATTATATATCCTTCCATCTACACAGAGCCTTCCTCATTGATGAATACCTTGCTCTAGACTCTTCTTTCCCCAAGCCTTCCTTTAACAACTGTAATTCAGAAGAATTTCTGCCCCCTTTAAGTCCCTAGAGCATTTTATTGTTTCATTTATTGTGGATAATGCTCTGAATTCAAGCACCGTGTTTTATCCATCACAAATATTTATGGAACTCCTCCTGCTATGTACAAGGTATTAAAGTAGGAATTCATTATATATTTGCTAGTAATTCATGATAACAGTGTCCATTTTTTATGTGCAAATCGCTGAGACACATACTCTTGCATTCATTAAGATTATTTAAATTCTCAGTGTCTCACTTTCCTCTCCTGTAAAATAAGGTTAACAGCACTTACCTTATTGGGTTTCGTTATTAAAGAAGATGGTACCTGTGACATAGTAAGGTCTCAATAAATATTAGTTATTATCTTACATATTTTACATTATTATTATTCTTTCAGTTGCCCTTTGGGATAAGTATTGTTATCTCCATTTTATAGAAGTGAAAACTGAAGCTTATAGTAGTTAGGTAACTTGTTTTAGAGCCAAGATTAGTTTTATCAATTTGTCTGATTTTGGAGCCTGTTCCATACATATAATATACATATAACATATAATTATATATATATATTAATAGCAGCTGTTCTCTATAGTAGTGGCTTTCAATTTTTTTACCATGACCCAACCACAGTGAGAAATACATTTTACATTCCAACCCAGTAGTGTACACATAGATACAGACATGCAAAAGTGAAATGCAAGATGAATGAAACATTTTTACTACTTGCACAAAATAGAATGTTTTAAAACTCTATTTTATTTGTTTTAAATGCTGGTTGCAACCCACTTAATTGATTTCACAACATTCAAATGGCCTATAATTTGCAGTTAGAGAAACATTGCTCTACATTTTATCGATGAGTGGATAAACAAGTAATATAGTAGACATAATGAACAATACAAAAGATTTAATTCTAATCTTTCAGCAGAATAAACAATTCCTTGTCATCAGAAGAGGTGGCAGTGTAATTTTATATATGAATCATTCTTTTAATGGAAACTTCACTTGGCCTGAGTCTAACAAGCCACGCTTATGCACTCCTCAGCTGTGCCGTTGCTCAGGATAGGGCAATGGAGTCTTCTTTCATTAAAACAGAATTGCTGATTTTTTCAATTAATAAAATATTCCTCTTCTTTCCCTTCCATTATGAATTCATACAGTAACATTTCTTGTAGTTATGGTGATATGTCAGGCATTATATGTGTGTGTGTATATATATATATATACATATATATATATAATTCATTCATTTGTTCAACAAGCACACAGTGAATGTTTATATATAAGGGTAGGCTGTTCCTAGGCTTTAGGAAAACATATTTTAAATATATTCTTCTTACCATCCACGAAATAAGACAGTGGAGTCAGAGAAGAGTGGCTGAGTTGAAAGAATAGGAAGAACTTGTCTTCTTTTACCTCTCTAAAATAGTTTATTTTTTCATTCATTCATGTATTCATTTCATCCATTTAGAATATTATTGAATACCTATCCTATCTATGCTGGTCACTATGCTAGGGAAAACACTGCGGACTCTGGAATATACAGTCTCATGGGGAAGAGAAGCATTAATCAGTGTATCATGGAAATAACTTTACAATTATAAACTACATGTTGTGAAAGAAGGTGACCCCGTGCTTAGAGTTTATAATGTGGGAACCTGGCTTAGCGTGTTGAGTGGGAGTGAGTAGATGAAATTAAGAAAGTGACATTTGAGCCAAGATCTGGTAGACGAATAGTCATTAACTAGATTTTGTGGTGAAGATGTCGAGTCCAGGAAAGAACACCTGGACTCTTGTCACATAGGAGGAAGGACCAGAGCACATTCACAACCCGGCAATAGGGAGACTCCAAGACAAAAACTAAGTAGGAGATTTTTTCCCCTTAAATATGATAATTTTTTTTTTTGGTCAAAAACCCCTAAATGCCTATCTAAATAAAAATTTTTAAGCTTCACTATATAACCGTATATTAATTCAGAGAATGACCATACTATCATCACTTAAAAAGAAACTAAAACTCTCTTCAGTATTTAAGCTCTGAAATCTTACCTATGAACCATCATGAAAATGGTTTCTGAGTGTTTATTAAAGCAAAGAAGTTATCAAACCCATATGAGCAAAATGCAGTTTGAATCTGCACCAAATTATTTTTCCCTTTTCCAGAAAATGTCTGGCTCAAAGGAACTGGGTGGATGCAGGTTGAATTGGTAAATATTTGTAGTCTACGTACTACCCACTGTCTCCCCTACGCTCCCTGAAGATGAGCATGATTCTGCTTCAGCAGATCATCTGACAGACACTGTATACAAGTAGATTGAAAGATTTCCAGATCTTTTCAGTTTCTAGTAAATTAAAGAAATGTGAAGAATTTTTAAGATACAGTGGGTGTGAATGTTCTTATTTGTAAGACTGTTCTTTACCTCTGCAAATATTTGACTTTCTAATCATATAGTTTTTTTTCTTAAATGGGCTCCACATGTACTCACCATCAAATTGGTACTGACTGATTATCAATATGATGCTCAAAGGGTGGTGGTGTTCACCAGACATTCGGGGGGTGGGAGGTAGAACCACATCTAATCATATGGTTATTAAGCATAACTAACCCACAGTTAGTTTATCACTAGGGCTTAACAGGTACATAAATAACACTATTAGGAATAAATCAGGTTTTGAAATATAATGGGAAAATTTTAAAGAGTATAGAAGAATATAGCTTCAAAGATTTTATAAATTATTAAAATCTACTAAAATTCAGTAACTTTTTTCTATCTAGCCTTCTGCTTTAATCTGCTAAATAACTAAAATTTACTTCTTTTAAGGAAAAATAACATAGTATAACTCACTTTATATTACTAAAGAGGAAAAGCCAAACTTACTATCCTATGCTTTTATATTCATATTATTTTATTAACTATTTCATAGGGCTAATGGCCTTATATTTTCTGATGATAAAACCAAAGCTCAGAGTGGTTCAGTAGCTTGTCTTGACCTCCCTGCCTATACATGTAAAAACCACAGTTCAAATGCAGAGCCATACAGCTCAAACTGATACCCTTGCCATCAATTTCATATTAACAACGTATTCCTTAATGTACTACACTACCTAAATTGTACTCTTAAAAATATATATAGTTAAGATGGTAAACTTTGTTGTGTATATTTTAATGCGTTAAAAAATGGGCAAAGGATCTGAATAGGCATTACTCCAAAGACGATAAAGAAATAGCCAATAAACAGAAATGAAAACATGCTCAATATCATTAGACATTAGGGAGATGCAAATAAAAAACATAAGATACCACTTTACACCCGCCACAAAGGTTATAATAAAAAAGACAGATAATGTGTTGGTGAGAATATGGAGAAATTGGAACTATCATACATTTATGGTGGGAACATAAATAGTGCAGCCCATTTGGTAAATAGTCTGACAGTATTATCATATGAACCAGCAATTCCACTTCTAGATATATACCTAATAGAAATGAAATCATATATCCACATGGAAACTTGTGCATGAATATTCATGGAAGCATAATTCATATTCATAACAGCCAAAACATGAAAGCAACCCAAATGATGAATAGGTAAACAATATGTGTGCGGTACATCCAATTCTAAAACCAATCAACAAACCAACCTAACAAACAAAAAATCCACAATATATTACAATGAAAATAGATCGGGGGATCCTATTATTTTTAAAAACAGTTCAAATACAAATATAGCATTTTTAAAGAAACTAATAATTGTTTATATAAAGTATTTCCCTTAATTTGTTCTCCATAGTTAGATTTTTTTAAATGATTGTTATGAATGTGCTCTATACCTGTAATTCCTAGACATCTAATCTGATTTCTAAAATTTCCCCTAAAATTAATCTATTTCACTTTAGAAGCTATTATTCTCCTTCCCTTTGGTTTATATTAAATCTAAATCTATGCTGAACATATAAATGTGCTATATGCTGAAGATGAAAAAAGAAC